GCAGCTAACAGGGTCCTAGTAAGCCATCTGCCTTCAGGACCTCAGTCCCCCGTATGGTGACTGAGCTTTTTCACACAACAACCAACCAATGGCCTTCTTTTTAATACTAACCTCAACTATTTAGGATAGTTGGTCCCCTGGTATGTCCTGATCTTAATGCTCATTTGGAAAAATATTAATTCTTGCAAAATGCTAAGTCGACGTCCAAGATTATAGCCACTAACACATTATTGGTTTTATGCCTTTAACTCCCATCTTTCACACTCCCTTCTTCCTCTGCCTCAGGCCTCTCCTCTGTTTTTGACTTGTACTGTCTGCGTTCAGGGCCTGTCATGGATTGAATTGTGTCCCCTAAAAATATGTATATCAGTTTGGCTAGGCCATGATTCTCAGCATTGTGTGATTATCCACCATTTTGTCATCTGATGTGATTTTCCTATGTGTTGTAAATCCTACCTCTATGATGTTGATGAGATGGGATTAGCAGCAGTTATGTTAATGAGGCAGGGCTCACTCTGCAATATTAGATTGCGTCTTGAGCCAATCTCTTTAGAGATATAAAAAAGAGAAGTGAGCAGAGAGACATGGGGACCTCATACCACCAAGAAAGCAGCATTGGGAGCAGAGCGCGTCCTTTGGACCTGGGGTTCCTGTGCTGAGATGCTCCCAGACCAAGGGAAGACTGATGACAAGGACCTTCCTCCAGAGCTGACACAAACAGAAAGACTTCCCCAGGAGCTGGTGCCCTGAATTCAGACTCCTAGCCTCTAGACTGTGAGAAAATAAATTTCTCTCTGTTAAGGCCATCCACTTGTGGTATTTCTGTTATAGTGTAACCTGAGCCTATGAATCTATTAGTCCTTAAACTAGCCCAAGCCAGATTTGGCCCGCCCCACATGCGCAGAAGGGCCAGCTGTGACCGCTAATTGGCCTCTACAGAGGAACAACAGGGGGAACAAATCAGAAGGAAAATCATTACGTGGACCCTATTCTGAAGCAAGAGGTCCGACAAGAACCACATCACCTCCTGTTTCCGGGCCACCTTCTAGAATTTTCCCTCCCCAGTATGGCTGCATGGCCACCATCTTGCTGCCCAAATCACATATAGCCCTGCTTCCCCATAGCTTGGGGAGCTGGATCTGAGGAACTTCTTCCAGGCTCCTTGCTCTGCCCATTGCAATAAAGTTACTTTGTCAAAGACCAGTGTCCAAATAATTGGCAAGTCTGAGCACACCAGACAAGGACCCACCTTCTAGGGTTCGGTAACAATTGCAGTACTAGATAACTAAGATAGGGCCTAAACAGAAGCTTCGACTTCCTGCCCGAAACAAAATTCATACCAGTCTTGCTCCAATAGAGCCAGAGTGCTCCATTCTTTCCAATGGTCCTTATTCTACTGACCAGGCTAGGGTCACTGGTGTTGCCTTAGGGGCCAAAAGGCTACACACTAAAATAAACTCATTGATGCCAACAAGGAATGTCAAGAATAACATCCAGATAAGATTAAAACTGCTGTGGTCATTGAAGCCCTCAATGTATGTTGTCACGGGGGAGCAGCCTGACAACCAATATTGTGGTGTCTTCTCCATCTTCTGGTCATAGCTTTGATCAAACAGGAAAAACAGTCATTCTGAGCACTGCCTTAGAGAACTATGGACCCTACACTTTATTTTCCAAAGTGGAAACCGCTTCTTGTACTAGTTCTAGAAGAAATGTCTGTCGTTTTTAATAGTTTAGAAAATCAAATGTCAGCTAACTCACCATCTGCTTACAGATGCCCTGTATATAAGGGTGTCTTTCATGGGTTGCCTCCTGGCCTCCAAGCCACCCAGGAGTCCTATCACGTTCTGGGGGAGGGCCCCGCCACTTTTGTTCTCCTTTTTTTTTTTTTTTTGTTTTTTGAGCAAGCAGGAAAACAGTCATACCAGTGGAGCTACAAACAGACTTCTTGGGTACATCTGTGTTCAGATGCCAGCAAATTCACAGCAGTGGTCAGAGGATGCCCGCTGCGAGATGTTGAGTCTGGGTGCAACCCTTCCTGCTGGGTGCAGGAGGAAGCTCCCCATCGCAGGTAGTTCATTTTCACACAAAGCCAGAGTGAGCTCTTGGGCTCACTTTTGGATAATTCTGTTTGTTGTATCTCAAACTCTAGAAAAGTGAATTTAAACCAGTTGCCATCCAGTCTTCTTCGACTCATGGTGACCCCATATGCATCAGAGTAGAACTGTGCTCCATAGGGTTTTCAATGGCTGATTTTTTGCAAGTTGATCACCAGGCCTTTCTTCTGAGGCACCTCTGGGTGGACTTGAACCTCCAACCTTTCAGTCGGCAGCCAAAAGTGTTACCCATTTACACCACCCAGGGACTTCACACAGTAAAAGTTACTGCATCATTGCCAAATGGGGTTTGTTGCAACCACACAAAGATGATATGCTATTAGAAAATCTTTTTATATATCCTATTATAGCTCTATAACAAGGAAGGAAATCCATATAATCATTTTTGAGATATGCCAAGAAGGTATGTTGTAAAATTCAGCATCCAGTCCTGATTTTTTGAAGTCTTAGAAACTAGGCCTATAAAGATATTTCATGAATATGATAAATGATTACTTACGGCAATAAGTTGACATTTCAACTAACAGTGAAATACTAGATCTGTTACCCTTTAAGTCAGGATAGAGACACCGATGCTGTACCAGTGGAGTGAAACCACATTGACTTATGCTGTTGATTTTTATTACATAACAAGAACTCAGGAAGGTGAATACCCATGACTGAAAGAACTGCTCAAAAATCTCATCAAAGGCCTAGGATCCTTCTATTTTTCCATTCCACTATCGGTGTGTGGCTTTTGTCCTCAAATGTCTCACGGTTGCAAGATGGCTACTACACCTCCAGGCATTACATCCAAGTTTCAGGCAGGAAGGAGAAGTGAAGGAAGAAGCAGCAGTTCTATCAGGAAAGCAAAAGTTTTCCCAAGACTCTCTAGTAGACTTCCACTTGAGCCACTTGAAGTCTTAACTGTCACGTGGCCACCCTAGCTGCAAGGGAGTCTTAGAAGGCAAGGTGTTTTGAGCTGGACACACAAGCTCCCCACCCCAAATAGAGTCTGACTACTCCCACCACCCTCCCACCACCATGCAGTGTTGCTCTGGAAGCGCTAGTCGATGTGAATTTTAAAAAGAAAAGAAAAATAAAAACCTATCTATTAGGAGAGGCAAACCTTTTATTTCAGAAGATTATGACTGTTTACCTAGAAAACCCAAAAAATGGGTAAACTGCTAGAGACCTACTATAATAGCTCAGTAAAGTTGCAAGGTATAAAGTAAATGTACAAAAAGATATATCCAATCAATAGCTTTCCTATCTATCTTATAATGGAAAGACTCACCAAATTTATAAACCCTACAACATTAGAATAAAACTGAAGAATAAGAACATATATGAATAAAACTATGAAACTTTTCTGATGGCCAGAGGTGGATTTGAATAAACAGTGATCTACCACATCTTTCATTAATTCTTCATAAATTAGTGAGTTTTATTCAATTCTGATCAAAATCCTAATGAAATGTCTAGGGGCATAAAGAGGTTGAGCTCTGAGAAAATGATTTCTGGGTCACCCAGAAGAATAGATTAAACAAAAAAAAAAAAAAAACCTTTTAAACAAACTACTAAAAATGTGGACCTGGGGTGTTACCATCTATTAAAGCAAACTATGGAACTACAATAACAGAATAGACAAGCCTACAGAATAATGAAAATGCAATTCAAGAATGATGTGAGAACCTTGCATCATACATCCTAAATACGTTTCATATGGATTTAAAGTTACGTATAAAATGTGGAACCACAGGAGGCCTTGAAAAAAAGATTGGAAGATGCTTTCTAAGAGTTAAAACAAGGAAAAATATAAAGGAAAAAAATCCAATAGACTTTATTATATAGAATTTGAAAGCATCTGTACATTAAAGATGCCATAGCAAAGATAAGAGATGTACATGACATCAGTCTGTCAGTTTGTCATACTGTGATGGCTTGTATGTTGCTATGCCACTGGAAGCTATGCCACTGGTATTTCAAATACCAGCAGGGTCACCCATGGTGGACAGGTTTTAGCGGAGCTTCCAGACTAAGACAGATTAGGAAGAAAGGCTTGGTGATCTACTTCTGAAAATTAGCCAAGGAAAACTTTATGGATCACAACAGAGCACTGTCCAACTCACTTGCTTTGGACACGTCATCAAGAGGGATCAATTGCTAGAGGACATCATGTTTGGTGAAGCAGAGGGGCAGTGAGAGCATGCAGACCCTCAGTGAGATGGATTGGTACAACAGCCGCAATGATGGATTCAAACATGCTGGCAATCACGAGGTTGGCACAGGATAGTGTAACATTTTGCTCTGTTTTATGTGAGGTCACCATGAGTCAGAGTCGATGCAATGGTAGCTAACAACAACTATGTGTGTGTGTATGATGTGTGTATGTATCTATATCTGTCTATATATATGTACACATACACACACATGAAAAGACTAGTGGCGGACAAAAGACAGGAACAGGAAATTTATATGAGGAGAAAAACAAATGGTCAGTGTTGAATTATGTCCCCCTAAAATGTGTATCAACTTGGCTAGGCCATGATTCCCAGTATTGTGTGATTGTCCACCATTTCGTAAATCCCCACCTCTATGATGTTAATGAGGCAGCATTAGAGGTCATTATGTTAATGAAGCAGGACTCAATTTACAGGATTAGACTGTATCTTGAGTCAATCTCTTTTGAGATATAAAAGAGAGAATTGAGCAGAGAGGAGAGGGACCTCGTTACCACCAAGCAAGAAGAGTCAGGAGTGGAGCGCATCATTTGGACTGGGGGTCCCTGTGCTGATAAGCTCCTAGACCAGGGCAAGATTGATGACAAGGACCTTCCCCCAGAGCCGACAGAGACAAAGCTTTCCCCTGGAGCTGGCACCCTGAATTCAGACTTCTAGCCTCCTAAACTGTGACAGAATAAATTTCTGTGTGTTAAAGCCATTCACTTGTGGTATTTCTGTTCTAGCTGCACTAGATAACTAAGACAATCAGTAAGCGTGAACAAATAACATTCTTAACATATCAAAGTGGCAAACATAAGTGAGAAGATAACTCCAACTGTTGCAAGAGTGTAGAGAACGCTGATGGTGAGAGTATAAGTCAGGACCATCATGCTGGATGAAATCAAGAAATACCAACAATCTTACGATGTTCATAACCATCTCCCAGTAATCCCAGTTCTCAGAATTTACTCTGAGGAAATAATCAAAGGTGGGCAAACAGGGTTATGTTCAACAATGATTTATAAGTATAAACAATCTTGATGCTTAACAATAAAGGAACAGATAAACCATGATACAACTACAAGATAGAAAATGAAGTAACCATTAAAAATGTTTTAAAAAATATTTTATAACATGAAAAATGCTCATGTAAAATGTTAAATGGAAAAGAATAAAAATAATATGTCGAGTATGAATCCAATTTTGTTTTAAAAGAAAAAACACATAAACATGCTTAGGAAAAATGGGAAGGAAATGCATCAAAAAGTAAAAAGTACTTATCTCCAGGTCACGATCCAGATACTGGTACTTAGGGTTGTTTTTATATTTTATTTATATAGCTTTCTGATTTTTTCAAATTTCTTCAATATACATGTATTACTCTTATAATCAGAAAAAAGTTGCTTATATGTAAATAAAAGAAAAATATCAAGACCCCAATGGAAAGAGGGGCAAAAGGGATATTCAAATAATTTTTAAGAAGAGAGATCAATATTAAAAACATTTAAAATATTCAACCTCATTCATTATCAAAGGTGCAAAGTAAAAAAATAGGATGCCATTATCAACTTATTAAACCAAAAGCACTGCAGGACCCGTAGGCAAGGTGCCTGGGACCCAGGATACCTACAGAATCCAGGAAATGCTTCGATTTTAATTTCTTTTAAAATAAGAAAAATGAACATTACAATAATGAATATATAATAATGAGTCCAGCCTAGATTATATTTGTCTTTTACCAACGAAGTTGTAAAATATCATTTTTAATGTTTGTCAGGGAGGAAGGGTCTCAGACTATCATAGCGGCCCTGAGGACTGCACTATGATAACACTGGCGCGTAATGAGGAAGGCGATTCAGCCACCATGGTCAGGAATCATCACTACGTTGTCACCAGGCAGTGAAAGAAGATAATTCTGGGTGCCAGACTTCTAACATGGCCATCTCAGGGAGATGGGAACAAAGGGACCTCCCACCTCACCAATATTGGTAACTGATTGCTGAACAATGAAACTGTACTCTGTAAACACACTACCAAAAAAAAAAAATGAAAATTATTCCTTAAAAATATTCATCTCCTTTACCTAAAATTTTTCAGTTCTAGAAATCTAAGAAAACACTAAAGTACCGTGTTTTCACATAAATGACGCATGCCTTCTGCATTTGTTTGCCAGCCAGTTTGCCGGCCGTGCCCGCCCCTCTTGAGGTATTTTCGTAAGCGTGCTATGCTAATTTTTTTTACAGCAATATGTGGAAGAGGATTGGCATGGTGGCGCTTGTGAGGGTGCCTTGAGGGGGAGGGCACGGCCAGCAAACAAATGTAGAAGGCCTGCATTATTTGTGTAAAAATACAGTATGATGCAAAAAGATGCTCAGCTAAGAATGATTTATAATAGTGACAAACATGTAAATAACATCAACATCCAGCAAAAGGATTATCTATAGACTAGACACAATACTATGCCTCCACTCAGAATTGCCACTACAAAGAGCAGCTAAGTGAGGAAAAGATAGAAATGATATTGACACTGTGTCTAATGTACTGTAAAAATGCAATATGAAAAAAGCAGAAGGTCATGTATCAAAGTGCAAAATGAAGTTTTATTAGGAAGTATGAGCTTATCCTTAATTCCACATTTTCTGAAATGTGGTTCTATTGCCTTAATAATTTAAAAAGTATTTTAAAAGCACTTTATAAACTATGGTATTCTATACAAATGTAAAGTATTACCACTGAAAATGCAGTTCATACTAGCTTAGAGTGGAGTAAATAACATTGATGCCACGTTAACAATGTCTTCCTGTCTCTGCTAGGAGCACGAGGGTCTCTGCCAGGGCCTGGGGTTTGTATAGCAGTGTGATTTTTTCAAATTGTCTCCCTGGAGCTGAGGGTCCCCTCCTGAGTCCCCTCTGTGGAGGCACTCCTCCCCTCTGAGTAAGCTGGTGACATGTGCCTCAATGGTGCAGCTGGCCCCGCCCAGCAGCTGCCAGTGAAGGCATTCTTTCAGAAGTTTCTAGACACATCTATCCCGATATTGTGCCCACCTTCCCTGCGTGCGCGGGGCATCTGCCTGAGGCTCCCAATTTTCCACTACTAAGGGTGAAGTGCGTTGTAGGTGTGTCAGGACCTGCCTATACCAAGGTAGGCTGTGCTCAGGTGGCCACTGCAGGGCCAACCCCCTGACTACACCGACACTAATGAATGACTCTGCAGTAGAGCTACTTAAATGAGGTTAAGTCCAGGAAATTCACTTTTTTCCAAAAATCCACTATCCAAGGTAGTCTCCCCTTCTGGAATATAATAATGTTCACTTGCAATAGTGAGGAAGATAATGGTGTTCAGAACAATTGCTGTATTCTGTTTTTTCTTTTTCATTCCAAACATAACTGTTTACAGAGGAAATTCCTGATCACAATCATGTTAGGAGTCTGTCAAGGACACAACAGTTGACATACCTTCTTTTAATCGTCAGGAAAGACCGATTCCCCTTGTCAGTGATTTTCCACCCATCAAGGAAGCAGGGTGTCGAACAGCTCCAAATGGCCTGCAACTCTCCTCCTGGGGCACCCATTCCTTCCCAGGGAGGGGACTGGCTCTAACTACAGACTAGTCCCAGCATGTAGATGATCTGAACAGGCAATGAGGCCATGGAGGCACATCTGGGCTCATCTGGGGAAGAGATGAGCAACACATTTGCTGAGGGGGGCAAAGGAAGTGGCAGCTAGGGAGAACCTGCATCAATTTCCAGGTTTGTTCCCCAGGGGGAACGTCCTGCTGGGCGAGGGCTGCACTGCACACAGCAGCTCTGCCACATCCATTGCACTGACTGCATCAACATCACCCAGCCCAGGGCCCCCTGCGTGGAGCAGACTGCCCGGCACATAGTAGGTGCTCAGCAAGTGCTTGCTGAACTGGACGGCAAAGGGCTTCTCTGGGCTGTGCAGTCTCTGGTGCTCAATGAGGTGGGAGCTCCAGCTGAACATTTCACCACACTCATTACACTTCAGTGACTTCTCTCCAGTGTGGATCTTCTGATGTTTGATGAGACAGTGGTTCTGACTGAAGGCCTTGCCACACTCAGCACACTTGTAGGGCTTCTCCCCGGTGTGGATACGCTGGTGCACAATGAGAGACGAGTGACAGCTAAACGCCTTCCAGCACCTGCTGCAGTCGAACGGCTTCTCGCCGGTGTGGACCCGCTGGTGCACGATGAGGTACGAGTGGGAGCTGAAAGCCTTGCCACACTCGTTGCACTTGAAGGGCTTCTCCCCGCTGTGGATCCGCTGGTGCACGATCAGGTACGAGTGGCAGCTGAAGCCTTTACCGCAGTCGCTGCACTTGAAGGGCTTCTCTCCCGTGTGGATCCGCTGGTGCAAGGTGAGGCGTGAGCGGTTGTTGAAGGCTTTCTCACACTCGCTGCACTTGAAGGGCTTCTCTCCGTTGTGGATCGTTTCATGCACGGTGAGGGACGAATGGCACGTGAAGGCCTTTCCGCACGCGCTGCACTTGTAGGGTTTCTCACCGGTATGGATCCTGTGGTGCCGCGTGAGGTGTGTCCTCTGGTTGAAGGCCTTGCCGCACTCGGCGCACTGGTAGGGCTTCTCGCCAGTGTGCACGCGCAGATGCATGTTGAGCAGCGAGCTGCAGCTGAAGGCCTTCTCGCAGGCCGTGCACTTGTAGGGCCGCTCGCCGGTGTGGATCCGCTGGTGTACGTTGAGGGAGGAGTGGCAGCTGAAGGCCTTCCCGCACTCGCTGCAGAAAAAGGGCTTCTCCCCGGTGTGGATCCGCTGGTGCTCCATGAGGTTGGTGCTCCAGGTGAAGGCTTTGCCGCACTCATGGCATTTGTAAGCCTTCTCCCGGGTGTGCCAGCGCCGGTGCAGGGCCAGGGAGGAGCTCTGCCTGAACGCCTTCCCGCACTCGCCACACGCAAAGAGGCCATCCCCCGGGCCCGTTCCCCGCAGCTTTCCCGCGCGGCAGTACTTTCCGTGGTCAATGGACCGGAAGGCGTTTCTCCCCGCACACGTCCTCTGGTGCTGGGTGACCGCCTCAATGGACCGGAAGCTTGTCACATGTATGTTGTCATGGAAGCCGGCCTCTGCAGGAATGCTTTGTTGGACGAAGAGGGCTGACCTGAAGGGAGAACCTCCCTCAGACTCGCCGAGCCCCGGACTGCTGTCCTGCTCCCTGGACACGTCCTCACAGGTGGCCGGCGCTGGCTTCCAGAGCACACCCTCGCTTCCTGACAGAGCATCTGCCTGCTCTTTCCAGCCCCACGCATCACCCCAGACGCAGCTGTGACGACTGGGCTTCTTCAGCTTTTCCAGCGTCGCCTCCCGGGTAGGCTCTTCCTTGTACATGCGCTCCTCCCTCATCGGAGGCGGGGGCTCCCACTCTGTAAGAGGTGGGAAATGTGGTTTCTGTAAGCGCATGGAAATACAGCCCTGGGATTCGGACCTGAGATCTGGCCGCAGGTTCAGAAACCAAAGAGTGGAAGAGCTTGAAGGGTGAAGGCGGAGAGGCAACAGGCATCCATACCAAGGATAGAATATATGGCAGGGAGGGAAGAGGAGGCAGATGGGGAAGCGGCCACTGGAGACAGCAGAGCCCGGGCAGCCACGCCTCAGAAAGAGGCACCACGGGGGAACACTGGTACGACTGGGCGATCGGAACATGATTCATCTCAGAAACATCAACTGACCGACTGTGTGTGTAATACCATGCCAGGCGCTGCGTAGCTGCCCTTGTAAGGGTACCTACTAGGCCCAAAAAAATTAAATTAAAAAATTTCCCTGGTACCAGAAAGGACGGAGAACGCCCCACCCCTTTCTCTTTAGCATTTCCTTTAGAAAACTTCAAGTTGTAAGTGCTTTCTCTGTCTCTTTGAGATGTATATAAATCTTTTTAAAAGTTATAAACAACATGTGGTACATACATACAATGGACTGTTACTCAGCCATACAGAGAAGTCAAGTCCTGATGGCATGCTACCTGGGTGAGCCTGGAAAACATCATGCTGAGTGAAGTCAGTCAGTCACAAAAGGACAGATATTGCATGAGCTCTCTCACTCATATGAAATATCTAGAATAGGCAAATGGATAGAGACCAAAGTTTATTAGTGGTTACAGACACGGGAGGGAGGGGGAAAAGGGGAGTTACTACCATCTGGGAAGCACTGAGTTTCTGTTTACGGTGATGGAAATTTGGCAATGAAGAGTGGTGAGGGCCGCACAACATGATGAATGTAATTGATGTCACTAAATTGTACACGTGAAAAACACTGAATTGGCAAATGTGTTATACATATAGTTTTACAACAAAAACGAAAAGCAAAACGAGCCTCTTGCAACGTACATCCCAGGACCACCTTTCCTGGGGGCCTTGGAGCCACCTCTGAAATGTGAGTATCAAGGAGGCAGGAGCCCTGACTCCCTGTGAGTTTTGCTCCCAGAGGTAACTCCTTGCTTGTTGAAAAGATGCAGGAAGTTTTATTTTTTTCCTTTGGATAAACACAATTAGTGTGTATGTGATGGGTTGTATCTGCCTGGCTATATAAAGAGTAGTGCAAACAAAAACTGGATATCCATTTGCAAAAACTGGATATCCATCTGCAAAAAAATGAAACAGGACCCATACCTCACACCGTATACAAAAACTGCTTCAAAATGGATCAAAGACCTGAATATAAAGCCTAAACTATAAAGTTCATAGAAGAAAAAATAGGACCAACACTTCAGGCCTTAATACATGGCATTAACAGGATACACACCATAACCATCAATGCACAA